ACCTGTCGAGATTCCAAAAGAATTAAATAACCAACACGCGTTGTCTACGATCGTTTCTGGTTGCAGAGTGCCGCTCAGACGCTGCATGTGGAACAACTCAAATCGCAAGACACACCACATGGAACAAATCTCCGAGTCCTACCCGCTTCGCTGCACCCTATATCGATGACGCACGACTCTTCCATCACACCAAATCTAGTAATGATGAAATATTTTAACATTCAATAAATCATTTAAGCGTTGAATATGGCGTTGTATCTTAACATTATATTCATTTCGTTACAAAATGAAGGTCGTAATGGATAGATTGAACGAGGTGATCTTGTCACTTCGGGGAGATTTCTATACGGCAAAATAATACATAAGCTTTCATCCTGAGCAATCGTCGTTAACACGTTTAGATTGTGTGTGTGCGATGTTTTGGTGCAAAATTGTGACGGCGAACCCATAAAAGTCGAGAAATTGGTTTAAACATGACCGATTCATCAATTCAGAATGTTTATACTTGGTGTCTTACCATGTGCTTCCTTTGGCCGGTAATTATCATTGAAAGTTTGCATTCTGTCGTATCTTTTTACATCCTAATCCCGATCTCTGGATAAAACGTATATAGTGGTAGCCGGATTTCTGAAAATTCAGGTGCACCGGAATTTCTGAGTGCCTATTTCTTGTGGTATAATCAATTGATCTCGTTTGTACAGAAGACTAGCTCAAAATAAACTTTATTTGAAGATAATTTTCTAACTCACCTGTACTAACGTGGGGTATAGCTTAATTGTAAAACGACCACTGCCTTTGCTGCAGAATGCACAGGACAAAGACTTGATGATATATTTAGAACCAACACTTTCCCTGCAGTACAAACATGATTATGATTAAAAAAATAGAATTGACTTCGTATTCTACGGTGTTGTGCATATTACTGGGTTGGTGATCACAGTGGCGTCATCAATTTGAGGTTCTGAGGTTTTTCGATCATTCTTTGTTTCCTTTTCTCAGTCTTGAAATTGCCGCAATCCAAGAATGCCGAAAGGTACAGCGAATGGCAACGCAGACGCGCGACACCAGCAGATCGCAAAGCCGTATAAAGAAATTGCGACCAATCTATCAAGCAAAATAAAGTGTGATCCGTCCGTTATGGATCTCCTGGCTCCTGACACGATTGAGTTGGCCAACTACGTCGTCAAACAATTGAAAGAAGAAGATCCTGGTGTTTTTGTGCAGATTATCGACCAGAATGCACTGCATCAAGCATTGGCTCTCAACCATTCACCTGTAGCGCAAGGTGCCAATGCTGATGCATCGGCTGAAGCCTTTCGCGCATGGCTCATAAGCGGAGCTCGGAATGTCCACCCCAACAGTCAAGTTCCCCGTAATTCGAATTTTGCATTGGCATTCCATCAACTAACTCAAGTCGAGGCCATTGGTATTGCATATGAACAGTGGCACCACCGGCGCTGGTATATTCAACTTGAAGACAATCGACTCGGAGGAAATCCGATTGGACAGTTTGCGATCGTGTTTTGGATGGCTGGCACAGGAGATCAACGAGCCACTTTTTCTGCCCTCCAAAACGTGTTTGGCTGATGTTGTACAATGAGTTTCATTCCTATGAAGAAAGAAGTAGAACTCGAGCGATTCTAGGATCATTTTAAATCAATCAGTGCATTTTTTTAAGTACTTGCAAAACGATTTTCCAGCCATTTTTTGTCTTGAACTCGAAAATCATGCGTGTGTCTAGGGGTACTCTAGACGCTCTTATATGCGATGGTTGAGCGGACGATGAGCGGACAATGAGCGGATGGAAGGGGATTGAAGAGGAAATCATAAATTAGTTCTCAACGATTCCATCGTGGATGAAGGATGATATGGAAGACACTTATTGCTCATTCGAGAGCATCCTGTAAATCTTCCCGACGATATCTTTCAATCCTTCAAACGACGGTATGGTATTCGCTTGATGAAGAACAGTCTCATGCTCTCGGACCTTCTCGTCGCCACTGATCAAGAACTTCCACTCGAGAAAATTCGTCACAATGCCA